ATATATAGTCTTTGGAATCAGACATAATTGACTTTGAAGGGACTCTTCCACTTGCTAGCTTTATTCCTCAGAGCCTAATTTTCTCATCTGTAAAAATAGGGATTGTAATCATGACCTTGTAGGGTTAAGTGAGCATTTATCATGTAATTGCTGAGAAAATGGTAGTTCCTTCCCATATTCCATCATAGTGTATTGACTTTTACATTCAAAGAAGAAATTATTGATTCCCTTTCCCTCCAGTACATTGCTTATTTTGAAGTGTTTTCCTACATAGGGATGGTAGTTGCCTCCAGGGCTGGTTTTTACCACACCATTATCAGTATTTCTCACTGTAGTCATGTGGTTGCCTGGTTTCTTTGCCAGGAGAATCCAAGCTCCATGGCCTCCAGGACAATGGCTTTATTCTAGCTGTAAACTTTTCTTGCAACTCTAGCTTTATACCAGAATAGAAGGAAAGTGAGAGACATAGCCTAGCCTAGTTGGAAGAAATAGGTTGCTTGGGGCATGCCCTCAAAGGGAATATCTATCATCTATCTATCTATCTGTCTCTTTTCTCTCTGTTTCATGTCTACCATGCAGTGAGCAGCTTTGCTCTGTCATGCCCTTCTGCCATGATCTTCTGCCTCTCTGTAAACCCAAAAACAAGGGAAACAGGTGAACATGGCTTGAAACCTCTGAAACTGTGAGCCAAAATAAATGACTCCTCCTTTACATTGATTTCCATCGGGCATTTGGTCAAAGTGATCAAAAGCTGATTGAAATGATGCAAAAGACTGAGGAGAAGTAAGAGAAACAAAAATACAGCAAAGTGGAGTGTTAGAGAACTCCGATGAGGAGCATTTTAGAAAGGTACATCCTAGTACATTGGCTGCAGGAAAACTTGGAGAGCTCTAGGTACATTTCATGCACAGGATCAGGAAAGTAATGATGTTGGAATACAGCTGTGCTCTCATAAGTGCCCAAGAGAGCAAGACCAGTTCTCTTTTGATCTAGAGCAGCTTACTTTCGTAGGGATTAGAGTCCATAATCCTTGCCCTCATTACAGAGACTAAGTTTCAATATGTAGGACCAGGTACCCTGCATTTTAATAGGCATCACAGATGATTATGATGTTGGTGATACCCCAAATCACTGGAGTCTCTTGTCCATAAATTAGTTCACAGTTTTGTTGGGAGTTCAGAAGCCCTATAACATTCTTTTGGTGAGCTAAAGTCACCAAATCACTAAGTTAGAAAACTGGAAGAGACTTTAGAGGGATCATTTATCAGTGCTACACAAGATGTTACTGCTGACATTGTTTTGCTGTAGGGGACTCGTTGTCCTGTGCAATACAAACAATAGCTTATCCTTGGTTCCCATCCACTAGATTCTAGAAGTATCCCTCAGTCATTCTGGTGAACAATTAAAACCTCACCCCATTTATTTTCTCATGCCTCTTAAGGGATCAGTGTCATTCCTCCTGAGAACCACTGACAGTGTAGCCCCTTCATTTTATGTGGGAAGAAAATGAGTCCCAGAGCATAGAAAAGAATTCCCAAAGTCTCACAGTGGGCTCTTCTTGTAATAATGTACTCTCAAGTCAGATCTCCTCTATCCTATATTTCTATAACTGAGTTGAAGAACCTAAAGGTAGGCTTGCCTCCCAGGCTGGATGGCAAGCTTTGTTAGAAATGACAGATATCTAACTAGGTCTCTATTGTTTGTGACAGCATCAAGTTCAGTGCTGACTACATAACAGGCCTCTTGTAGATACTCACTGATCTGAACTGAACCATAAAATAATCTTTATATGTGACTCCTTAAAAATGAACAAGGTTTAGACTCCCTCCTAAGCAGTAAGTCTTCTTTCAAGAGTGAGTGGATTATTTGTTTAGACTTTACTCTGGGGAGAAGCATTACCTTATTAGCATATTTTGGTACATCAAGAATGTTGTTCTGGACTCTGATTCTCACTACAGTGTACAGGCCAAGGAGGCAGGGAATTTTGCCTTTGTTCATTGTTTGTCTTCAGTTCCTGGAATGGTGCACAGTATATGATTAGACACTCAATAAGTATTTATGGATGAAGGAATAACTCACTTTATATATAAAAGGTGGTTTACTTTGTTCAGACAAGGGCAAAAGAAGCAAAGGTTTGCAAAGGTTTTATCCTAGTGGAGAAAAGTAACAAGTAAATATGAGTTCCAAGATAATGTATTTTCAAAGAATAGTTCTTTCCAAAACCCAAAGGCTTTTTGTCATCTACTAAAGAAATAGAGAAATGTCCCCTTTTGGAGCCTACAGTGACAGATGCTGATGGCTGAACAAAAGTCTTCAGAGAGAGACTGCTGGTACTGTTGCTCAATGCACTGTCCCTTTCTCTGTCCTCTTCAGCCCTGTTGAGGGTGACATAGAAAGACCACTGATGGCCTGTGATGAGATTCACAGATGGCAGGGAACTGGGCAGCCAAGTGAAAGCATCAGCTCACAGAGTCATTGGCCCTCAGACAGCCACAGAAGACCAGATAAAAGAGGATGAAATGCCACAGGAAAAGAGTGGTGGGCTCCAAACCTAAACAAACCACACAAAGGTGACCTGCTTTAATAGCAGCGAGTGAGAAAAGGACTTTAGAGTTTCAACTGTTGCAAAGATCAACAATGTCCAACAGACTGACTGATATTGCTGTTCCAAAGGACTGATGTGATCCCAAACCATGCTATTGGATTCTGGTACCTAGAGTATAGGAAGCAGTGGTCCATGCCTGCATGCACTAATTTATGTTATACCTATGGGTACAGCACAGGTAAAGGGCCCCTAAACAAACCAGAGCCCATTCAGAAAATGAGCTGGATATGGAAGGCATTGTAATTTACTTGTATAGGGAACAGTAGAAATACCTAGAAATAATTCATTTGGGTAAGAGAGGGGTCTGATCACAATTATGGCAATTTGTAAAGATGTGAAGAGCTGACATGGAAAGCAAAGAACAGCTCGGGTCTTTGCAT